GAGTAGCTGGGACTACAGGCGCCCGCCACGTCGCCCGGCTAGGTTTTTGTATTTTTTTTAGTAGAGACGGGGTTTCACCGTGTTTGCCAGGATGGTCTTGATCTCCTGACCTCGTGATCCGCCCGTCTCGGCCTCCCAAAGTGCTGGGATTACAGGCTTGAGCCACCGCGCCCGGCCTATGGTGTAATTTTTTTTTTGCCATCTCTTAAATCATTTCTTAGGTTTTACTTATTTCAAATTCTTTAATGCTGAGTTATAAAGAAAACCTCAAAAGGGAGTATGTGGCTACATTTCTTCAAATCTCTCTTCATTTGAGACTGTAACTTGATGTTGGCCAGAAAATTAGTTTGGAAATTATTGGCATGTGAATTTTTTCCTTCATAGGTTATGGAATATATGGAGAAAGAGAGAGAGAGAGATTGAGAGATAAATGACATCAAACTTAGAGAAAAGTTGCAAGGATAGTATGAAGAGTCCTCAAAGACGCTTTACCTAGAGTCACCAGCTAATAACAGTTTTTGCTTTTTCTTCATCACCATATCATATGTGTGCAACATGTGTTTTTTTTTTTTAATGAATTACCTGAGAGTAGGTTGCATACATCATGTCTCTATACCCCTTAATACTTCAGTATTTCCTAAAAACAAGGATTTTCTCTAATATAGCCATGATACAGTTACCAGATTTTAAAAATTTAACTTACCCAGGCACGGAGGCTCATGCCTGTAATCCTAGCACTTTGGGAGGCTGAGGTGGTGGATCACCTGAGGTCAGGAGTTCGAGACCAGCCTGACTAACATGGTGAAAGCCCGTCTCTACTAAAAACAAAACAAAACAAAACAAAACAAAATTGGCTGGGCATGGTGGTATGCACCTGTAATCCCAGCTACTCAGGAGGCTGAGGCAGGAGAATTCCTTGAACCCAGGAGGGGGAGGTTGCAGTGTGTCGAGATTGCACCACTGCATTCCAGCCTGGGCGATAAGAGCAAAACTCCATCTCAAAGAAAAAAAAAAAATTAACTTAATGTAATACTTATTTCTAATCTATAGTCCTTATTCCAACTTGACAAGAATACCAATAGTGTTGGCATTCTTGATACTTTTCCCCCTGATACTGTATCCAGTCTAGAGTTCTCTGCTGCATTTAGTTGGCGGGTCTTATTTACTTTCCTTTAGTCCAGAAAAATTTCTGGACTTTATCTTTCATGTTTGTCAATTTGGATTTGCCTGATGTTTCCTTATGCTTAGATTATGGCTGTGTACTCCAGGTTGGAGCAATGCGTAAGTAATATGTAGATTTAGCATCCCTTGGTGGTTCTAGCCTGAGCCAGTCTTTACTAGGATGGCTGTAAAATGGTGATTTTTTTTTTTTTTCCTGAGATGGAATTTTGCTCTTGTCGCCTAGACTGGAGTGCAGTGGTGCGATCTCGGCTCATTGCATCCTCCGCCTCTCAGGTTTAAATGATTCTTCTGCTTCAGCCTCCCAAGTAGCTGGGATTACAGAAGCTCACCACCACACCCAGCTAATTTTTGTATTTTTAGTAGAGACGGGGTTTCACCATGTTAGCCAGGATGGTCTCGAACTCCTAACCTCAGGTGATCCACCTGCTGCGGCCTCCCAAAGTGATGAGATTACAGGCGTGAGCCACTGTGCCCAGCCTAAAATGGTGGTTTTAACCTCCAGCATGTTCCTCCACACATGCCAGCCCACATTTGACTATAAAGAAGAGCCCTCTCTTCTCGTTTGTTTATTGGTATCTTTTTATAATCAGTTTGGACTCATGGACTCCTATGTTATTAAATGGGCTTTAGTCCTTGACTCTTTATTTCTTTTGATGCTGAAATTAACCCAGATCGGGCCACCTCTGAGCTGGCTCCTATGTCCTTTGATGCCCCCCACCCCTTTCCCCCAACAATTTTTGGGATCACTTTTTTTCTTTCTGGCACACTTGATGTTCCAGGTTTACCTTGTTCCTTCTCTGCCCCAGCCCTGGAATCACCCATTTTCCCAAGGAACCCTGGTTCCTTTTAGGGGGAATGGTAATTAGAAATTAAGATCTGGGGCCGGGCGTGGTGGCTCAAGCCTGTAATCCCAGCACTTTGGGAGGCCGAGACGGGCGAATCACAAGGTCAGGAGATCGAGACCATCCTGGCAAACACGGTGAAACCCCGTCTCTACTAAAAAATACAAAAAACTAGCCAGGCGAGGTGGCAGGCACCTGTAGTCCCAGCTACTCGGGAGACTGAGGCAGGAGAATGGCGTAAACCCGGGAGGCGGAGCTTGCAGTGAGCTGAGATCTGGCCACTGCACTCCAGCCTGGACGACAGAGCCAGACTCCGTCTCAAAAAAAAAAAAAAAAAAAAAAAGAAATTAAGATCTGGGCACTAAGTGTGCTCATTGCTACTAGGGTGCTTGTTGCTTTTGGGCCCATTCAGTGGACAGAGCTAGGAGAAACAAATTATATATTATGCTGGTAACTTATTTATTTATTTTTCTTTTGGAGACAAGGTCTCACTCTGTCACCTAGGCTGGAGTGCAGTGGCATGATCAGGGCTTACTGCAGCCTGGACCTCCTGGACTCAAGTGATCCTCCCACGTCAGACTCCCAAGTAGCTGGGACTACAGGGACACACCACCACACCGGGCTAGTTTTTTCATTTTTTGTAGGAGAGGGTGTGTCTCACTATGTTGCCAGGGAATGTCTTGAACTTCTGCACTTGAGTGATCCTCTCGCTTCTGCCTCTCAAAGTGCTGGGATTACAGATGTGAGCCACCTTGCCCAGCCCACTGGTAACTTCTTATTTTGATCTTGCTCAATAGGGCTTTACCTTGCCTTCCTGGATTCTGTTTATGCCTCCTTTCTTCCAAAGAGCTCTGGCTCCCAACAATATTTACTCATTTTACTCAATCCTATAGTATATATAAAATAGCAGTTTCAGAATGACTACCTTCATATCTCTATGGAAAACAAATTAATACAAATAGTTCAAGGGACCTTTTCTCCCCGCAGGCTGAGGGTCTACAGTTAGCTTGTACCCCTCCCCTTTTTGTGTGGATATATTATTCTATACGAAGCACAGCTGCGTTTATTTTTTCTATTTGCATGTTGGTTTTTTCTTTCTCATTTCTATTGATTTAATTTAATTTTTGAATATATAGAACATTAGCATTCTTCTAAAAGTCAAAATTAGGCCAGGTGTGGTGGTTCATGCCTGTAATCCCAGTACTTTGGGAGGCCGAGGCGGGTAGATCACAAGGTCAAGGAGTTCTAGACCAGCCTGGCTGAGATGGTGAAACCCCGTCTCTACTAAAACTACAAAAATTAGCCAGGTGCAGTGGCAGGCGCCTGTAATCCTGGCTACTGGCGAGGCTGAGGCAGGATAATCGCTTGAACCTGGGCGGTAGACGTTGCAGTGAGCCAAGATCGCACCACTGCACTCCAGCCTGGGTGACAGAGTGAGACTCTGGCTCAAAAAAAAAAAAAAAACAAAGTCAACATTATACAAAACCAGTATACTCAAAGGAGTGTCACTTCCTCCCCATCCCTTCCATTCCGTTCCTCCACCCCCCACCCCTTGTAGTAATTAATTTTATTTCTGGTTTAACCTTCCTGTGTTTTTATTTTTTCAAAATTAAGCAGCTTTCAAGAGAATAAGAAGACAGGCTACACACTGGGAGAAAATATTTGCAATAGACACATCTGATAAAGGACAGTTATCCAAAATATACAAAGGACTCTTTTGTTTGTTTGTTTGTTTGTTTGCTTTTTTTGAGACGGAGTCTCGCTCTGCCGCCCAGGCTGGAGTGCAGTGGCCGAATCTTGGCTCACTGCAAGCTCCACCTCCCGGGTTCACGCCATTCTCCTGCCTCAGCCTCCCGAGTAGCTGGGACTACAGGCGCCCGCCACCTCGCCCGGTTGGTTTTTTGTATTTTTTTAGTACAGACAGGGTTTCACCGTGTCAGCCAGGATGGTCTTGATCTCCTGACCTCGTGATCCACCCGTCTCGGCCTCCCAAAGTGCTGGGATTACAGGCTTGAGCCACTGCGCCCGGCCTTTTTTCGTTTCTTTTTAATACAGGTTCTCACTATGTTGCCCAGGCTGGAGTGCAGTGGCTATTCACAGGTATGAGTGCACTACTGATCAGTACAGGATTTTTGATCTGCTCTTCCTTTCTTTTTTTTTTTTTTTGAGGTGGAGTCTCACTCTGTCACCAGGCTGGAGTGCAGCAGCACGATCTCGGGTCACTGCAACCCCTGCCTCCGAGGTTCAAACGATTCTCCTGCCTCAGCCTCCTGAATAGCTGGGACGACAAGCGCGTGCCACCGTGCCCAGCTAATTTTTGTATTTTTTTAGAGACGGGGTTTCACCGTGTTGGCAAGGATGGTCTTGATCTCTTGACCTCGTGATCACCCACCTCAGCCTCTAAAAAGTGCTGGAATTATAGGCATGAGCCACCGCGCCCGACCAATCTGCTCTATTTCTGACCTGGGCTGATTCACCCTTCCTTAGGCAACCTGGTGGTCTCCCACTCCTGGGAGGTTACCACATTGATGCCAAACTTCGTGCAGACACCGGATTGGCATAGTGCACTACTGCCCAGAACTCCTGGGCTGAAGTGGTCCTCCTGCCTTAGCCTTCTGAGTAGCTGGGACTATAGGTCTGGCATAAAACAAACTCTTAAAACTTAAAAATAAGAAAACAACCCAATCTAAAAGTGGGCCCCAAGCCTTGACACCTTATTAAAGAACATATACAGATATAAAATAAGCATATGAAATGATGTTCCACCCTAGGTACTATCAGGGAAATGTAAACTAAAACAGCAATGAGATACCATTACATACTCATTAGAATGGCCAAAACCCAAAACTGACACCACAAAATGCCGAGGAGGATGTGCAGCAACAGGAATGATCATTCATTGCTGGTGGGAATGCAAATGGTACAGCCACTTTAGAAGATAGTTTGGTGATTTCTTGCAAAACTAAAAATACTCACCCCATACTTATGATCCAGCAATTGTGTTCCTTGGCCTTTACCCAATGAGTTGAAGACTTATGTCCACCCAAATGCACATGCATGTTTATAGCAGACCTTCTTCATAATTCCCAAACCTGGAAGCAATCAAGATGTCATTCAATTGATGAATGGATAAATTAGCTAGTACATCCAAACAATGGAATATTGTGTAGTGTTAAAAAGAAATGGGCTATCAAATCATGAAAAGATATGGAGGAAACTTAAACCTATATTGCTAAGAGAAAGAAGCCAATCTGAAAAGGCTATATATTGTACGATTCCAACTATATGATGTTCTAGGACAGGTAAAACTATGGAACCAGTAAAAAGATCAGCGGTTGCCAGGAGTCTGGGGGGAAGGAGGGATGAATAGGCACAGCACAGATAATTTTTAGGGCAATGAAACTATCCTCTATAACACTGTATGATGGACAAATGTATTAAACGTTTGTCAAAACCCATAGAATGTACAACACCAAGAGTGAAGCCTAATGTAAACTATGGACTTCAGTTCATAATAAAGTATCAATATTGGTTCATCACTTGTTTAAAAAAATAAACAAATGAACAGTATTTTGGTTACACTTTTATCAATACTATTCATACTAAGAAATCATCTCAAATATCTGTGGGTAGCGCACATGCAGGGGTAATTTGATTTTCCATTTGAGACCATAATTTGCTCTTTGTGAATCTTCTTAACTCCGCTCAGTCTTCTAGTTTCTCCTTTCCTCCTTCCCTCCTTCCCTCCTTCCTTCCTTCCTTCCTTTCCAGGGTCTCAACCCTGTTGCCCAGGCTGGAGTAAAGCGGTGCAATCACAGCTCACTGCAGCCTCGACTTCCCAAATTCAGGTGATTCTCCCACCTCAGCTTCCCAAGTAGCTGGGACTATAGGCACATGCCACCACGTCCAGCTAATATTTTGTATTTTTAGTAGAGACAGGGTTTCACCATGTTGCCCAGGTTGGTCTTGCACTCCTGGGCTCAAGTGATCCACCCACCTTGGCCTCCCCAAGTGCTGGATGAAAAACAGGTGTGAGCCATAGTGCCCAGCCCTTCTAGTTTCTTGTCTAAATTAAATCGACTTGTTTTAACAGCATTTAGCCAGCATTCCCATCATGTATCCAAGAGTAGTTGTACGGTCAATTGTGATATAGTTTTTTCCAAGATATTTCATCTTTGGGCACATCCAGAATATTGCATAAATCTTTTTAGTTTTTCAAAGATGCCATTATTATCAGCACAATTAGGCTGTGTCTTCTAATAACTAGTTCAACTATGTTCCACACAGGGGACATATCATCAAAAAAATGCTTCTAGATTTTTGGCCAAAATCCTGGCTTGTTCATCTTTATTATCTTTACTAACCATGTCATTGCTGTTATCAGACTTGCCCTTGATAATCTTTTAAATCAAAGACTAAAATTGTAAGTAGGTTTTTTTTCCTTAGTGCAAAACTAGGGAAAACTAGTTTTTCCTTAAGTCAAAACTAGAATGTAGCTAAATACACATGCGTGTTTCTCTAGATTTACATATATGCAAATTTAAAGAGAAATAGGAATTAATATTGAAAAATGTTCCTTAGCCACATTGCACAAACCACGTTAATTTCTTTTCTTTTCTTTCTTTCTTTTCTTTTCTCTCTCTCTCTCTCTCTCTCTTTCTTTCTTCTTCTTGTAAGATGTGTAGGACAGAGCCAGCATGGTGGCTCAGGCCTGTAATCCCAGCACTTTGGGAAGCTGAGGTGGGCAGATCGCTTGAGGCCAGGAGTTCAAGACTGGCCCGGCCAATATGGCGAAACCCCGTCTCTACTAAAAATACGAAAGTTAACTGGGTGTGGTGGTGCACGCCTGTAGTCCCAGCTACTGACGGAGACTGAGGCACAAGAAGCACTTGAGCCTGGGAGGTGGAGGTTGCAGTAAGCTGAGCTTGTGCCACTGCACTCCAGCCTGGGTGACAGAGCAAGACTGTTTCAAAAAAAAAAAAAAAAAAAAAAAAAAAAGATGTGCAGAATTGCTGAAGAGCTTCTTCGGCCCTGAACCGTGTTGTTTGCAGAGCTGATGTTTGGGGTTATAGGCTTTTCCATACCAGTAACGAACACTGGATCCTGACTGACAGAGGACCCCAGGTGCTCCTTTTTGGAGATATTTTTGGCTATGTTTGTAATACTTGGGGTCCTCTGAAGCTTGGGTGGCACTGGGAGGGAACAGGGTAGAGGGTACAAGGATGAAAGCAAACCTTCTGTGACTGTATCTTTTTATAAAGTTTTGACTTTGGGACTCTGTAAATGATTTGCATAATTAAAAAAGAAAATATAAAAGACCAACCTAAAACCATGGCAATAATATAGATTTTACTGAATGATTGATAAGGAGACGATGGGAAGGGCCATAATACACACAATAGCACAAAACAAAAGCCCTGAATTAGACATTCTTTTCTGGTTTTTCCAATCTCTTAATCCTCAATCCTCATAGTCTCTGAAAATCCCTTCTATTGTCCCAGCTAGAATCTTACGCTGAGCAAAACAAAACAAAACAAAACAAAACAAAACAAACCCTGAAGTTAGCACAACAGCAGAAATCAACTGCCGCCAGAGCACGCTTCCACAGGGCTTTCCACTGCATCTTCCATTAGAAAATACTACAAGAGGCCAGGCGCGGTGGCTCACCCCTGTAATCCCAGCACTTTGGGAGGCCGAGGCGGGCGGATCACAAGGTCAGGAGATCGGGACCATCCTGACTAACACAGTGAAACGCCGTCTCTACTAAACATACAAAAAACTAGCCGGGTGTGGTGGCGGCGCCTGTAGTCCCAGCTACTCGGGAGGCTGAGGCAGGAGAATGGTGGGAACCCGGGAGGCGGAGGTTGCAGTGAGTGGAGATCATACCACTGCACTCCAGCCTGGGCGACAGAGCGAGACTCCGTCTCAAAAAAAAAAAAAAAAAAAAAGGAAATACTGCAAGGATAGAGCTTCAAGGTGTTCAGCTTTCTCAATATCTCAATATCTGGCTTATTTTCTTCTCAATCCCTGGGACTAACATTGTCAAACAATTTGAACCTGGGACTAACATTGTCAAACAATTTGAACTTCCTCCCTAAAGCCAGTTGGAGTCTTTTTCCCTGCCCAAAGCAGGATTACCTGCTAGGTTTCCTGGGAGTCAAGGGTTGTGGCTCATTAAAGATGGCTTTGCATTAGTGAGTCTCACATCACTCAAAGGGGAGGTCTTGGTCCTAAACAAATGGAAATACTCTCTTAGAGGATCCTGCCAACTCTGAGAAGGCCTTTACATGCTTCTTGGTGTGTAAAACTGGCCAGTTAATTGCACATAGTGCAGGCACAGCACGTTTGCCAAGTTTGACTTTGGACATAATGAGTAGGAAGCACCAGTGGGATACCCAGGAACTCTTCATGTCCAGGAAGCAGCTGGAGCCTGAACTTTGCAGGACAGGTTCAGGCTGAAGACACAAATTTAGAAATCATTGTGTACACAGGAGAGGAGGCTATGATGGAAACAGAAAGAATATAGGAAAGGGTAATGCCTCTGAGGCAGGAAGTGGTCAGTGGTGTCAAGTGCTGCAGGAAGATTGATTAATAACAACACAGTGTTCACTGGACAAGTAAGATCCCTGAAGAGGAGATGGTACGGGTGATGGGATCAAGTGTCTTGAAAGGGAAGTGGGCACATTCTCCAAGATTTGACACTAGCAGGAGGATGCAAGTGGGAAAATAAAAACATCAGCAACACATCACAACACAACAAACCATAACCTGGGCAGGGCCTGAGAGCAGCGAGAGAGAAAGGGTAGGAAGAAGCCAGAGGAGTTTCAGCGCCTGCAGTCCTTCCTCTGCACCTTCCTCTGCGTAGCCGCTACCACGACCCCACGGCCTCAGTAAAGGTTTGCTGCACGCCTCAGCTTCTTATCAGTGATGCTTTGGAGAATGAAGGACTCCGAGGCAGTGTTCAGGGCAGAGTGAAGGGGGATGGACAATTTGAGGAGCCCAGGAGTGGAGATGGAGAATTCAACGCAAGTAGGAAATTCAGCAAAGGTAACCAGGGGAAAGATAAGTCCGCTAGGAGTCCGCTAAGTATCCTTGGAGTTAGTAGAAAATCCCAGGATTCCCAATATATTTGGGATGGGGTTTCAAATATATTTTGACTATTGTTTGAGTATTAAAGAAAAGGGCAGGGCCAGGCTTGGTGGCTGACGCCTGTAATCTCAGCACTTCGGGAGGCCGAGGCGCGTGGATCACGAGGTTCAGGAGCTGGAGGCCAGCCTGGCCAACATGGTGAAACCCCGTCTCTACTAAAAATACAAAAATTAGCCGGGTGAGGTGGTGGGCGCCTGTACTACCTGGCAGGCTGAAGCAGGAGAGAATCGCTTGAACCCAGGAGGCAGAGGTTGCAGTGAGCCGAGATCGCGCCACTGCACTCTAGGGTACGAAGGCCGAGGGTAGGAAGCTGAGCTGTTTCGAAATCTGTAGCCACCTTTTCTCAGTGACAATGAAGTAATCTTCCAAGATGTTGACAAACCTGGTGCAGAAAGTTTGGAGTAGCAGTTTGGGAATCCCCTGTAATAATCTGCTTTCCCTTGTGAACCTCAGGCACTGTCTTAAAATTTTTTGTATCCTCAATGCACTGTAGGAGCTCAACAAATGATAGAATAGATGAATAAATAGAGGAGAATGAGGAGACGGATCTGAACAGGCTGCGAAGGAGGTGCTATTCCAAAGCCCAGCCCAGAGGCAGTGACCTCGGACCCAAGCCAAAAAAAAACAGCTCGCGTTCAGAGGCCGGGAGAAAGAACAGCTCCCAAATTAAGGGGAGTCCAAGGCCTTGCTCTTTTAGAGGGCGGGGCTAGGAGAACGTATTCCGGCGCTGCCCGTCAACGAGCCAATCCCCGCCTCAAGGGGGAGGGGATTTAATCTGTCGCCGCTCCTTCCCTTTGGAAAGTAAATACGTTCGGGCGCCGTTCAAACGGACCAATGAGTGATTGACGTTGTTGCGGTTGGCCCTCACCGATTGGCTGGAGTTTGTCGTCCCTCCCTCCTCGTCATCCCTCTGGCTCCACCCCTTTGCACACAAGATGGCGGCGCCCAGCGGAGTAGGGGCTGCGCTTGGGGTTTGCTGAAGCTGGTTGCCTCTCCCACTCCCCTTTTGGGTGCAAAGCGCCGCTAACGGGAGGACGGGGGCCGGGCGGGGACAGGGGCACCTGCGTAGCTGGACTGCGAGCCCGCGCCCAGCTTGCGTCGACCCCACCCGGCCCCGGCCCGATCCGACCCGACTCGACCCGATCCGATCTAATCCGATCCCATTCCATCCGTTCCCCGTCTCCTCCCGGTCTGACCCATTGCCCGGCCGTGGTTCGCCACACCAGGCATCCAAAGCTGAGGTCGCTCCTACGGCCTGGGCTCGCCTTCGCTTTGGAGATGTTTGGGCTCTTCCCTCCCAAACGGCCCATCTTCAAAACCTGGACTCTTGGACTGGCACCTGGCCCCCTTTCCCTCTACCAAGACTCCTCTTCCCTCTTACCCACTTCTTCTTCAGATTCTTGGTACCCCCTGTGTTGGAGACTGCTCATTTTCCTTCCAAATTAATCCCAGACCCCCTAAAATATTGACAACCTTGACAACCCCACAACCGAGGAGCCAGACTTTCTTTTGGACTAACCTCCGTAGCCCTATCATGGAGGCAGTGTACCTGGTAGTGAATGGGGTGGGCCTGGTGCTGGACGTGCTGACCTTGGTGTTGGACCTCAACTTCCTGCTGGTGTCTTCCCTCCTGGCTTCCCTGGCCTGGCTCCTGGCCTTCGTCTACAACCTGCCGCACACGGTACTGACTAGTCTTCTGCACTTGGGCCGCGGAGTCCTGCTTTCATTGCTGGCCTTGATCGAAGCCGTGGTCCGGTTCGCATGTGGGGGCTTGCAGGCCTTGTGTACCCTACTCTATAGCTGCTGCTCTGGCCTGGAGAGCCTAAAGCTCCTGGGGCACCTGGCCTCTCATGGGGCACTGCGGAGCAGAGAAATACTGCACCGGGGCGTCCTCAGTGTGGTCTCCAATGGCCATGCTTTGCTGCGCCAGGCCTGTGACATCTGTGCCATTGCCATGAGCCTGGTGGCTTATGTGATCAACAGTCTGGTCAACATCTGCCTCATCAGCACTCAGAACCTCTTTTCCCTGGTGCTGGCCCTGTGGGATACAGTGACCGGGCCTCTGTGGAGGATGACGGATGTAGTGGCTGCCTTCCTAGCCCACATTTCCAGCAGTGCTGTGGCCATGGCCATCCTCCTTTGGACACCCTGCCAACTAGCCCTGGAGCTGCTGGCCTCAGCTGCCCGCCTCCTGGCCAGCTTTGTGCTTGTCAATCTCACTGGCCTGGTGTTGCTAGCTTGCGTGCTGGCAGTGACGGTGACTGTGTTGCATCCGGACTTGACCCTGAGACTGGCTACCCAGGCACTCAGCCAGCTCCATGCCCGGCCATCCTACCACCGTCTTCGAGAGGATGTCATGCGGCTCTCTCGCCTAGCACTGGGCTCAGAGGCCTGGCGCCGAGTCTGGAGCCGCAGCCTGCAGCTGGCGAGTTGGCCGAACCGGGGGGGGGCACCTGGAGCCCCCCAGGGTGACTCTATGAGGGTGTTCTCAGTTAGGACCCGGAGACAGGACACTTTTCCTGAAGCGGGGCGCAGATCAGAGGCAGAAGAGGAGGCCAGGACCATCAGAGCGACACCTGCCAGGGGCCGAGAGAGGCTCAACGATGAGGAGCCTCCAGGCGGGCAAGACCCATGGAAGTTGCTGAAGGAGCAAGAGGAGCGGAAGAAGTGTGTCATCTGCCAGGACCAGAGCAAGACGGTGTTGCTCCTGCCCTGCAGGCATCTGTGCCTGTGCCAGGCCTGCACTGAAATCTTGATGCGCCACCCCGTCTACCACCGCAACTGCCCGCTGTGCCGCCGGGGCATCCTGCAGACCCTCAATGTCTACCTCTGAAGACTCCTTCCCTACCTGCCCACCCCTCCACGCTCCACGCAGGCACTCACGCTAGGATAGCATTAACACCTCATCTCCGGGTCCTGGTCTGAATCCCTCCTACCCCTGTGGCTGTCCTGCCAAGCCTCCAAGCCATACATCCAGGACATTGAGATGGAAGACTATGATCTGGGTGGGGGCAGGATAACATAGCTTCTCCTTACCCAGTGGGTCCCTTCGATGCTGAGGGTGGTGAGTATGTCACTATGCAAGGGCCTTGAGACTGTTTGCTGTGGGCTCTCCTCCAGCTTGCCCAGGGCCCACCCAGCTGCCTCTGGGGTTACCCCTCTCTGCTTCTGGTTTTTCTGTTGGAGATCTGTAGGTCCTTTTCCTGCCTCCTTCACATTTCCTCCCCAGCTTTTGTGGCCACAACATATCAGTGTTATTTGGGTGTTTTGGCAACTCAGGGGCCTTCAGATGATCTTGAACCTTTGTGTTCAGCCAGAGCCCCTGTGCCCTGGTAGGCTTTGGGGTTAGTATCTCTCAGGTACCCTCAGAGCCACCTCTGCCTGTCATCATCTGATGAGGCTCCCTCCCAACCTGATCCAAAAGCTGGGCTCACGAGTTTACCCCTGGGATGGGGGAATGCATCTGCACCTGACTTTGGGACCATATGCTCTCTGGCACACCAGCTCACTGCAAGTCTCAGGAGGGATAACCAGATTTCTGCTCATTCCCCTTTCACTCCCACATCACACAGAAAAATGGCATTCGTCTCTGTCTCTCCCTGGCATTGGAGAGGGCAGACTGTGCACAGTTCACTAGGGTCCAAATACAGAAGGGGCCAGGGCCCAGGGGCTTGCAGCTTCCTGAGGGGTCTCTGGCCCAGTTTCCTATGAATAAAGTTATCTTGACAGCTCTGACAGTCTCTTGTGCATCCCTGCAAGGGAGCAGCTGGTCAAGGCAACAGACCCTGCATCAGGGTCCTTCAGCCCTGCCGGAGTCAGAAGTGTGGGCTGTGGGAGTACCTGGGCTTTAGTGGGGGAGACAGGGAAGGAGCTAAGATAGGCTGGGAAGACTGTGTCATGGGGAGAGTGCATGCCAGGCGGGGCTCTCTGAGCTGTCATCCCTTCTGATTTGTCCCCTTGCACACGTGGCTTTTGAAAAGCCTTTGTATTTTTTCTATTTTTGCCCAAATTAAGCCCTTGTAGAGAGGAATGTGAACCATCTCACCCCTTGAGTCAGCCTTCCCAGCTCCTCCCCCGGGCCAGTCTTCCTGGGAGGGAGCATGGGGTTCCTGCTGCCTGGAGTCCAGTCTTACCCTCGGATCCCAGGAGGAGCTGGTGTGTGTCCCTGTGTGTCTTAGCATGGGGTCTGGTGCAGGGTTGGGTTGGAGTGTGGCTGCGGGACCTCCTGATGGAGGCTGCCTGAGGCCTGTCTCTAGCTCACATTTGGGGCTCAGTCCCCATTGGCTGTATCTGCCCTCACATGACCAGCGGAAGAGCAGGGGCACTCCCCCATAATTGTATGTTCTGTCTGGGACCACAGTGCCTGGGACTGCCTTCAGGAAGGGGGCGCCGGTAGCTCAGGAAGAACTCTGAGGAGAGGCCCCCCTTCCTTGGGTTGAGGCTGTGCAGATGGGGCTGGGCAGTCCTGGTTTGTTAGTCATTGGGTTGGAGGTGGGCCCCCGGGGTGGGGGAGCTTTGAGGGGCTTTGTGGCTAGCCTCAGACACAGTGGCTCGGCCCACCCAGGCTATGCCCAGAGCAGTGGGGGAGGGCTCCTCATCTCCACCTCAGAACTGGGAGGCCTAGGGAGGGCTTGGCACTTGCTCTTTCCTTCCCTCAATCCGGGACAGGAAGCTGAGCAAGGGGAGGCCCGGCTCCTTCCAGTCTCTGTTTAATGTGGGGATAAACATTTTATGATAGAAGATAAACTTCCTGAGTTGGGAGTAAAGGACTCCCCTTTTCTTCCATCTGCATCTGGAATTCCTTTGGCCGACCTCAATACCCCTCCTCCCCCTCACCACCCATAGTCAGGAGCTCAAGCTACCCAGTATCCCTGCGGCATTCTGGGGCCAGGGCACCCCCTTGTGGTCATCTCAGAAACTACTTATCTCTAGACGCCCATTGAGGCCACTCACTCGGGTTACAGAGCAATAGCTTTCCAGTCATCTGGGGACCAGGCAAGCAGCCAGGGCAATCATAGACGAAAGTCCTCGGCTCTTTTTTGTTGGATCAGGGCAGGGATATGTGTGGTGCAGGCAGCCCCTATGTGGTTTAGTTGGCATCTTTGAATTAGAAAAAGGTACCCCCTTTCTTAAGGGTGGCTGGAGCCCTACACCAGGAGGGCATCCTGCTGTCAGACACTCCTATTCACAACCTAGGTGGCAGCTCTGTGGAGCCTCTCATTCCCCTGAGCTGGCTTCCTGTATATCTGTCCCATATCTCTATTTCATCCAAGAACCCTCCCTTCTACCTGAGTACCCCCTCCACACCATGATCCCAGAAACAGAACCCCCACCACTAAAGAAGAAAGGCTGGAGCCAGTAGGAGTGTTCTTAGATTTATTGAGTGATCTCTGAGTAAAGGGCCGGCCCCATGCGCAGGAGGGGGTGAGGAGGATCCAGAGAAGCAGAGGACCAGGAAGAGAGCACCCCACCATGGGCTCCTGGGCCAGAGCAACTGGGGGACTCACACTTGCCAGCACAGCACACTCCTCTGGTCTTGGGCAGAAATCCAGTCACTGCCCCATGCTGCCATACCTGATTGCAGACAGCCACTGTCCCCATTCCTTGGCAGCGGCAGGACGGAGAGGCCCCTACCCCACCTCCCTAGTCATTCACAATATTCCAGGGGGCCAGCCCTCCTGGATGACCTGGTTGTCAGCGTCACACCCTCCTCCTAGGAGTGAGCGTGAGCCCACTTTGCAGTGGCATTAAGCAAAGACTGGGGAGCTGTGCCAGTCAGAGTACACCAGAAATCCGGAGAAGGTGCTGTCTGTCTTGATGCTGGCATAGATGCCAATGTAGTCACCCACACCCACCTGCACCCACACTTGGTCCTCGGGCTCCAGCCTCACCATGGCGCCCCCCGAGAGCGAGGCTGGCTTGGGCCAACCCCCGAAAAACTGGAAGAAAGAGGCAATGGATTCGCCGTTCTTCACCAGATCAAACTGCAGGCTGGCCCGGTAGACAGTGGCATGGACGGCGAAGTAGTAGACCCCAGGCACCTGGCAGGTGAACTTGCCGGTGACGGCGTCGTAATGTCCCTGCTCGTTCACCAGCACGCGGTCGAAGGGCAGGGGAGCATCAGACGGCGGAGGCAGCCGGCTCTCGGAGCGCTTGGCGCTGAAGGCGGATCGCGGAGGCACAGAGCACTCCCCTGCAGGCCCGGTGGGTCCCGCGGGTCCCGCCTCTCCTCGCGGCCCGGGCTCCCCTCGAGGTCCCGGCAGTCCTGCGGGGTAAGCGGGGCGGCAGGTTGAGCGTAGCGGCCGGGTCAGCCCGCAACGGGGCGGCGACTCTAAGGTCACCGTACCCCTCCCCGCCCCTGCCTGAGCTTCGGCCAGCGCCTCCTCCCGCACGGGTACCTCCTCCACCCATTCCCGCAGGGCAGATCTAGGGGGCTGGCCAAGGGGGCGCCCGCCGCCTGGGCCCTTCCCCCGCTCTGGGCTGCAAAGCTCAGGGAGTGGCGCCCCCTGGCGGGAGCCCCGAGCCCCGGGCACTGGGAGTGGGAGCTGCGGCGGAGCCTGCTCGGACGTCGCCACCTACAGCCCCTGCGGTGCCTTCTTACCCGGCCTCCCGCCCTCGCCTTTCTCTCCCGGAGCCCCGGGCGCGCCGTCGCGGCCGTCGCGGCCATCGCGGCCCGGCAAGCCCTGGCTGCCGTGGTGGCCCGGCGTGCCTGGAAGGCCGGGGTGCCCCGGGCACAGGCTGGGGATCTTGTTGTCGTCCAGTGGGGGCGAGCCGGCCGCCAGGTCCAGGAGCAGCAGGACAAGGAGCGGCCTCATAGCGCTGGCACCGGGAGCCCGAACGCCAGGGTCCTCTCGCGGTCTGTGGGCCAGGCAGGACTGGAGTCGGGACCCAGAATCCTGGGACCTACCTCGATCCCCACCCGGGCGCAGCCCACTCGGTCCCCACCCCACTGCTGTGCCCTTGAGGCTGAGCGCCCGCAGGGCCGAACACCGGGAGAGCACAGGCAGGCGAGAGCGGGTAGGAGCGGCCAGCCCTCCCTCCCACCGCCGGCCCGCGTCAGCCTTTCCCACAGTCCCCTCCCCAGCCCCTTTCCCCTCCTCTGCCAGACTCACCCCCCCTCCCGGCTCCCCGATGGCCTCCTTCGGGGCGCTCGCTACTCCGGACCCTCCAGTCGGTGGTGCTCCAGCCCCTGCGCCTCTCCCGGGCGAGGCGCCCCCTGCCCTGCCGTCACCTCAGTCCTGGTTCGCTGCCTGCCGGCTCCGCTCTTCTCCTCCCAGACTCCAAGAGGAAACCAGTTGTTCGGGGGCCAAGAGCTCCCGGACCGGGAAATAGCTGGGAAATAACTAACTCGTGGTGTCGCCCGGCGGCCGGCCAAAGTTTAGGGGGAGAAAGGAGGGGTAGAAAGACTTGAGCCGGGCACAGAGAGGCAGAACTTCGAGAGACGGACACACAGGGCACCTCCTGTTCCCAGGGCCAGAGGAGAGGCGGAGCAGTGGCAGAGACCAAGGACCAGACCCCATTTCAGGGAGAAATACGTAGGGAGATGAGGGTGGAGAGTTCTAGAGGCAGACAGCCAGTTGGATCCCTAAGGCCTAGGACAGGGCCTGCCACATGAGTAGATGCTCAGTACATTTCTGTTGAATCAAGGAAAAGGTCAGAAGGCAGGCGATAGAGAAGCTGAAAAAGCAGATGGAAAGGGGAAGAGGCAGAAGGCGGGAAGTCTGGGTCAGAGGCCTGGATGGGAAGCGGTCTCGATTGTCCAGTGGCAGTGTGGGGCCAGTCAGCAGCCTGGGGCCAGTAAGGGGACAGGAAGGTGCAGGGAGGGTCCCATGAGCCCCAGGTGAGGACTTCTCCTCCCCCTCCCTGGGAGCCCCAGAGAAGATAGTTAGAGACCCTGCTGGTGCCGCTTCCTTTTTCCCCTGTGTGCCAGTCCTGACGGGCAAAAGAGGACAGGCAGAAAGAGGGCAGGGGCTGGCTTCAGGGTCAGGGCTGGGAGCAAGCTTCCAGACCAGCTGCCTCTGGCAGTCTGTTGCAGTTGAAGGGCCAGGGGGTGCCCAGTAGTGCCAGGCCAGACTGGCACTGGTGCTCTGCTTCCTGGCAGACAGAGCGGCAAGGGGGCAGAACACTGCCTAGTGGGGTGCAACGGGGCACAAGCAGCCCACACAGGAGCCTCCGGAAATTCTGGTAGCAGGGCAGGCTTGTCAGGCTCTGCGGAGGGACAGCGGCCTTCAGGCACCTGCTCCCAGGCTCCCTCCCCTCCCAGGCCTGCCCTCCTTCCCTCCACCCAGAAGACCTTGTAACCGCTGAGGACTTCTACCACCTCCTCCTGGGTGGCCATGCCCACCCAGATGTTAGGGAAGGCCGTGGTGTTGTAGCTCAGACCGAGGCACATCTCCACCTGGACAGGCTCACAGGCCAGCTCTGCAGGGGTGGAGGGGAAGGCCACTGTGGGGACTGCTCACTGGCTGTGTGGCCTGTGGCAAGTCACCGAATCACTCGGTCCTGTGTGTACGTGGGTCCAATAGGGGTGGTTGTGAGGAAGCAAGAGGATAACAAGGAGAGAGGCTGTACACACACTGAGGATCCCTGCCATCCCTGAGAGCCTGCTCCAGCATCGGTTGCCAGCCCTGGGCATCACGCAGGCACGTCTTTGATCTCAGGGAACATGGGGCACCCGCGTTTGCAGGGACCGCTTGGGCATCTGGAAGAAACCCCCTGCTCTCTGTAAGAGGATGCCTTCATCTTACATGGGCTGTGGAAAGGGGCTCTGGGTGACAGAAGGGACTGGTTCTTGGAGTCCCACCACTGATTCCCAGATTCCCATTTCCCTTGGGGTGACACTCAGTGCCATTGCCACCACAAGCCGAGTGTCTTCCAGGACTCTGCGAAGTGGTCCCAGAGTCAGCTGGCCCCGCCCCCTCAGAGAGAATGGGATGGGACGGGACGCTATTCAGTATAGCAGCAGGGTTCTGTGAGGTGAGCACCCAGCCTATTCAGGGTCCCCAGGGGCAGGCCTCTCACCTGGGGGTGGGAACAAGGGACGGCTGCAGTTGTCATCGCTGCCATCGGTGCAGTCTCTCCACATGTCACACATCCACTGCACACCCTTACACCCTCCTGCCTGGCAGGAGAGCTCACTGGGCCCACAGGGGTCTGTAGGCACAAGGGGCATGGCAGTGCCTGGGGACATACCTACACTCCCAGTACCCCCAGAGTGTCTTGACCAGGGTCCAGAACCCTTCTCCGTCCCCCTGGAGGTGCCTCTACTGTCCACACCCACTTGCCCAGGGGCACCTACTCTCCGTGGCATTGAAGGCCAGGTAGGTGGCTGAGAAGCCTCCACTGCTGATGCCATGATCTGTCCTAAAAAGCACAGCCAGCTCATGGTGTGAGGAGACGAGGTGGGGGGGTGGCTCTGCTCCACAGAACCTGCCCAAAGCAGACAGCAGATCTGGGCACCAGCCCTGGCTGACTGAGGGGGCACTGCAGCCTCCCACAGGCCTGGCTCTGAGCTGGAGCCCTGGATGATGCCAAAGTTGATGGGAGACACAGGGTTAGGGTCTGGTGAGGAAGACACACATATTCAGCAGGCAAAGCATTAAACAAACTGCTTGAACTTGAGCCACTTCGAGATGGGGAAAAATCAGCGGGACAGCCTGGCGTTGTGGCTCACACCTGTCATCCCAGCATTTTGGGAAGCCAAGTCGGGAGGATCACTTGAGCCCAGGAGTTTGAAACCAGCCTGGGCGATATAGTAAGACCTTGTCTTTACAAAAAAAAATTTAAAAAATTAATTATCTGGGCGTGGTGGCATGTGCCTGTGGTCCCAGCTACTTGGGAGGCTGAGGTGGAAGGAGCACTTGAACCTGGGAGGTCAAGGCAGCAGTGAGCCATGATAGTGTTACTGCACTCCTGCCTGGGTGACAAAGTGAGATTCTGCCTCAAAAAAAGAACAAGAAAAATCAATGAGGGTTTGTAAGGGAGGTGGAGGTGGCCCCTGCCGGTGGGGATAAACTGGGGCAGGGAGAGGTTTGGGGAAGGACCTCCTGGGGACAGGGAGAGTGTGGGGTGAAGGTTTTGAGGTGAGAGCTGTCTTTAGGGTAATGGTGAAGAGACCCCCGGCCTAGAGTAGCAGAAGAAAGTGAAGCTGGGGAATGTGCTGGGCTGACACAGAAGGCGGGGGTGGCAGACTGCGAGGATGGAGTTATCTGTGGCTTTTCCCTGGCTCCTGTACCTGCCCAGGAGGCTGAAGGCCCCTGAGCTGCTGGTCTCATACACCTCCACGTAGTCAAACTTGCACTCGTCCTGAGCCTCCAGGCTGAAGTTGTGGAACTGCAGTTCTATGCTGTGTCCAGCCGGCACCGAGATATGCCAGGTGCAGAGCTGGGGGAGGGCACAGGTGGGCAATTCATGACCCCTTCTGTCTCATCCTGGGCACCCAGGCTGAGCTCCAGAAGGGTCTTCTTCCCCCACTGCTGGCTGGGGGGTGGGGTCGCGCTTTCATCACTGGTGGCTCTTAAGGGCCTGGTTTCAGAGGTGAGTTGACCCAGTGTGGGCACATCTGGGTACACATCAGGCACTTACTAATATCCCCCATCCCCCGTCTGCTTGATCTCTGACCCTCCCAAGTAGAAGGTAGTGTCTATCATGCCGTTCCATTACACTGACTTGGGTGCTCAGGTGCTTCCATGTGTGCCCCTCCCCCTCTGCGTGGAGCACCGTGCTTACCTGTTGGTGAGGGTACTGCTGCAGGTAGTTGGGAGTAGAGAAAGTGCCCTGGAGCCCAGTCAGATTCCCCCCACACCCTGTAGAGAGATGAAAGGGCTCAGGAGTTTGCCAGGATCCGCGCTTCCATCCAACAGTGATTGTGGGCAGTGACTGCAGAGCAAGAGTTTTGGCCATGCCCATGGGAAGCAAGTTCTGGGCCAAAGAATGACAAAGGAGGAAATGCTGGCAGAGGCCCTGGTTTGAGGCTGGACCAGAGCTGGGGGGCCCAATTTGAACCCAGATCAGATGCCTGAAGAGAGGACCCCCCATGCCTGGCCCGTACCTGAGAACTTGGCACTGCAGTTGGTCTCATCGCTGCCGTCAGCGCAGTTGGCAAAGCCATCACACACTGAGTCAGGTAGCAGACAGATGAGCTGGTCACAGCGGAACTCATCATGGGCACAGCTCCCTGGGTGTGGGCACCAGGAGTCAGGGAGGCCCCGAGTCTCCACCCCTTTGGCAGGGCTGGGAGTGGGTGGAGGGGAAGAAAGTGGACACTCAACAGGCAGCTGGGGACATGGTGGGAACACACTCACCATGCCCAGGGGCCACAGCCTGGTACCAGGCATGGAAACCAAATCCTTCCACACTGCTGTCAGAGACGAAGACCACCAGGAGGTGGCTGGCATTGGTGTTGAGCGTGGGGGGAGGCACCCTCCCACAAATCCTGCAAGAAGCCGGGTTGGGGGTGATGGAGGCTCCAAGAGCAGGGCCAGCCAGAGAGGAGTTTGCCTGGGCCTTGCAGTCCTATTAACCCCCAAACTGGTGACCATGTGGTCAAAAAGTCTCCTCTGATGTCCCAGGGAGCTCTGACCTTCTTAGCATCTGCACATTTATCCTTGTAGCATTTACTCATAGGAAGATAGAAAGGAGATCCATGTTACAGACTAGGAAACAGGTCAGAGAGGGGAAGTGATCTTCCTCATGGCATACAGCAAGGTGGTGGCAGAGCTGGGCCCAGAGGTCTAGTCTCTCAGTTTCTTCCTCGGTTAGCCCTTCCCCCTGCCACTCCCTGATTCTGCTCTTTAGATAGTGGTTCAGGACACGGTGGGATGTCCTGGGGACAGAGGGACCTACCTGAGGAGGGAGCCTTCAGGCTCAGGGGAGATTTCCAAGCGATCAAAAAGGCAAGAGGCCACACTCTCTATGCTGAGGGCTTCGATTTTGAGCTGTATTGCATGGTCTGTGGCCACCTGGATGCGCCACATGCAGTGGGTGTTGGGGGGATAGGGGTCTGGGTAGTTGGGACTGCTGAAGAAGCCCCTTGGGCCAGAGAGGAGGCCTCCACAGGCTGCGGAGATCGAGGTCAGAGTTCAGAGGTCAAAAGGAGTGAGGTCCTTTATTCTCCGAGGTGCCTCTTCCTCACCCTCCCCTCACCCCCACCCCATCATCTTGGGCCCTTCTCCGGGAAGACCTGCCCTGAGTACTCACTGGCCTGTGGGGAGGGGCTCACACCTGACTCCTGCTGCCCTTCAGGGGTCCCAGCTGCCTGAGAGGTGGTGATGGTGGGGGTGGTGGGGGTGGTGGTAAGGCCTCCGGCAGGCAGTGGGCTATGGGAGGCCCCAGGTGGGGGTGCAGCCTGCAGCTCTGGAGGCGGGAAGATGGAGGGTGGCGTTCAGAGGAGCTGGATCCTGGGAGGCTGGGA